CCGCTGCCTATAAACATCCGCAATGTTGAAGACGCACATAAAGAGGACATTTCCCCTTCCTATGCGTCTCCTCCACCGTCAAATCCACTTTTCCTTCCCATCATTATCTCTTAAGAAAAGGGTGGAAGGGGAAAGGGACCAAAATGAGGCCTCCGGCACCACACTCATTAGACGAAACGCGGAATTGCTTCCACTTCACGCCTGTCTTCTGTGTGGTCGTAGTATTGCACCGGGCGAGCCGACCCATTCGTGCGAAGACGTTAAAGCGGGCTTTACCACTGAATTAATTTACAAGAGCTTATAGAAGTTAAATCATCAACAATAGACACTGAAAAATAATTCCTGTTCATACGTATGACAGTTGCACTTTATCAGATGAGTTTGCTTTTTTGTCGATGTTAAAATGTGCAGTAATTCATGTCTCGGAGGTTTTAATCTTTTTTTTGTCTCGATAACTTCATCGGAGCCCGTACAAGTGATTCGCAGGTGTAAACTGAGATATAATAATTATTCGATGTCGGTTATATTTATACATCTATATCCTCTATGGTATACATATAATGAAATTGGAGTGTCTGTTTGTAATATCAAAAGAAAAATTCCAGATTTAGATAGATTTATTTGCGTTGCTAATAACGAAAATCATGTTTATTTTTTTTGTCTGTCTGTCTATTCGCAAGCCACGTTTGTTCCGGGTAAACGGCGGGGCCGATTTTGACGGGACTTTCACTGAAAGGTAGCTGATATAGACGTGCATTATAGGCTACATTTTATGTTAACATTGCGTGGAAGAAGCCGCGGGCTATAGCTAGTTCTCTATGTTAAGTATTAATTTAATGACAGAGCATTTCTAGAAGGTTATCCTTTACTTTGTTATCTTATAATCGATCATTGGTCTCTTTAATGGATTATTGTTTTGTTTTAAATTTGTTGTTAGTGAGTTTTATTGTGCATTGTTCTACGTGAGTTAGTTAGCAAAGATTGACAAAAACTAACTGTTAATGTTAATCTTATATGTACAAATAGTTTTTACCTCCTTCATTGCAGTGGCTAGATATTTCTATTATCTATTATACCTATTGCATTAAAATATCTTTCTTACATATATAAAAGAAAGTTGTGTTAGTTACGCCATTTATAACTCAAGAACGGCTTTACCGATATGGCTGAAAATTGGTAAGGAGGAAGCTTAGAGCCAGGATACGGACATAGTATACTATTTATTCCGAGGGAAGATTTGTATTTTTGCAATTTTGTATGTATTTAATTCGCTCAAAAAATACTTGACGGATTTTAAAAATTCTTTCACCATTAAAAAGGTAATTTATCTGACATGGGGTACATCTTTCATTTATTTTTTAATTTCACGGGGACGAAGTCGCGAGAAACATCTAGTATTTTCATAAATTAAATGTGATTTAGTATTAATTTTTTTTAAGTTGTTTAGCGTGATAAATTCGCTTACGTTTTATAAAGCTAATAAAGAAGTTAAATATTATAGCTTTAGTAATGTTTCGTTTACCATATCACCTTTAAACGTATCGAATGAATTTATTCGGCCATTTTAATTTAATAAAGGTAATTAATGTAACATTGTCGCGGCGTTTATTACGGAAGGCAATCAGAGTTTAAATGTGTCGGTCGGTCCAATCCCGGTCGCCGCGGGGCGCCGCTGGACGCCGCGGGCCGTCGCCGCACATTACGCTCTATAATGCTTCTGTTCAACGTAATTATGTGTTTTTATAATTGCAGTAATCAAAATGGTATATCTAGATTTATGATGACAATGCTCGATTCGATTTATATATTTGACTAGCTGTTCCAGTACGGCTTTATCCGCATAAAATTATGAAAATTTTAATTAATGTTTACATTTGTCAATTTATTAATAGCAAATGTCAAAATGACATGACAAACCTTGGCAATCTTGCTTCCTTGATGTTGGCAACAACTAGGTCATTTTCCCGCATTAGGGTTTTTATCCAAAATATATACCCCCTAAGTTTAATGGCGTGAAAATATATCGCCTAAAGCGTGACGTAAGTGTAGAGCTTTTAATTAAAAAATGAATTATAAAAAAAAATATGTTGTAATTGCTGACATCTTAGGCAACAAAGAAGTGTGTGTTTACGCTTTATTATAATAGTATAGATTGCACTACTTGTAGTGTAGTTTCTAGATATTACTAATTAATCCATCTAGTCTCGGAAAGAAATAAGAGAATTCGTTGCTAGGATGTCGCGTATCAAGACACTTATTCTAGGACACACTGCTGCATGAGTTTACTATAAACACTATAATTGATGTAAATTCTGATATAGATATATTGATAAAATTTTAAAAATGTATTTCGTTAGTATAGTCATAAGTTACGTTTGCGTAGGACGTGGCTGCTCGAGGCCTGGACGTACCGCGTGTGGACCTCGTACTGCAGTACTGCGCTCCGGCCTCTGCCACCGACTACGTGCATAGGTAATCATTTACTATTGTGTAGAGTTATGTAAACTTTATGGTTGGATTTTTTTACGATTTTAGAATAAATAATAAACCTTCAGCTAGCTATACGAATAGGTCAAGTTTTTAATCTGAAAAAGAGTGTCGAAGTAAACCTATATGTTTACTAACGTCTACTTTAGATATGTATGCATTTAATTTCAAATATTAAAATATTGCTTCTTTTAATAAGTCGATATTATATTAAAGAAAATGTGACTAGGGTGGGTCGCACGGGGCGCGCGGCGCAGGTCGGAGCCGCTGTCCTGATGCTGCTACCTAACGAAGCAGAATTCGTAAGACATTTGGAGCAGAAGAGAATCAGGTAGGACACATTATTTACCAAGTCTTATTAAGTTGTAGAAGTATGTAGTTAGAAATATACTAATGGTCCTTGGATAATTTACAGCTTTCGTACTTTACCTTTAAGATTAATGTTTAAAGAAAGTCTAAGGTCTGCTAGGAATCTTCGGAATGTTAATTTCGGTGACGAGTTAATATTTACGCGATAACCGTAGAGTTGCAGAAAATCGAGTCCTTACTACTTTATTCTCTAAGTTTTTAATAAGTTTATAGCAATGAAAGGAGGATATTGAAGAGTTTGTTCTTAGGCTGAGGCAAGCAGACGAATCAC